ATAACATGATAATAACACTTCAATAACACGTGAATAACACGAAGATAGTACGTGAATACCACGTGAATAACACGAGGATTATCGTTAGTAACACGAGAAGATGACGAGGATAACACGTGAAGAACACATTAATAATACAGGAATAACACGGATAATAACACGGGAATAACACATCAATAACACGGGAATAACTTGGGTTACTCACGTGTTACTGCGCGCTCGCAGCAAATATTCATTGTGTTATTGACCGATTAATCGGTGTTACTCTGCGTTACCACGTGTATTCTAGCGTGTTGCTCCTCCGTGTTACCGCTGATTAATCGGTGTTATTCCTTATTTCCTTGTGTTATTCAGACAATCAAAGATTTGTGATAATTTTTTAATATCTTAGATCGGTGATATTCCTAATTTCTCCGTGTTACTTGCGGTGCACCACATGCGTTACTCACGTGTTACTCTCATATTACTCCTGTATTACTTGCGGTGTACCACATGCGTTGAACAAATGCATTACTCTCGTGTTATCCACGTGTTACTCAGAATGCAGCAGATGCATTACTCTCGTGTTACTCTCGTGTTATCCACGTGTTACTCAGGATGCAGCAGATGCATTACTCTCGTGTTACTCTTATGTTATCCACGTGTTACTCACGTGTTACTCAGGATGCAACAGATGCATTACTCTCCTGTTACTCTCGTGTTACTCCCGTGTTACTCTCGTGTTACTCTCGTGTTATCCACGTGTTACTCTCGTGTTATCCACGTGTTACTCACGTGTTATCCACGTGTTACTCTCGTATTACTCTGGCTGTAGCGTATGCATTACTCTCGTGTTACTCACGTGTTATCCACGCGTTACTCATGTGTTACTGGGGATGTAGCATATGATGTGTTACTAAGCCAGTTGACCAACATATTATAAACAACTTTAATCAAAGATATGCAAAGAAAAATTATACAACTTTAATAAAAAATCCTTGAAAATAAGCACATGTCATAAACAAATTCTGCTCTAAATCTCTCCATATGATCCTGTCAGTTCATATGTGCACTCCAGTCGACTTCTTCGCGCTGCACTAGAGTTTCCATGTACTTGCAGACGAACATCCCACAATCAAAACTATTCCTTTGTGTTGGTACATTCTTTGTAATCGATAGGGACCATTTATTGATTTTGGATGTAAATGAATCACCAGCATCCCTAGCAAACATATTCACCTGAATGATATTGAGATGTTATTGTGTTAATCTTTGAATGCAATTGTGTTACTTTTAATTTAGTTGAATAGACTTACAACTTCCATAGCGCCAGCCTTATGTATTTGGTTGGGAAGTGAGTCGTATATTCGCCATTTTCTTAACTTGAGATCCACAACCAACAAGATCCAATGTTGATTATGAATGGTTGGAAAGAAAATGGTTTTTGTTTCTTTTACGGCCTCGTAGGTCATTTGTTTCGATTAA